ATTTATGACTTGTTGAAAAATTAGTTATTTTAAAAAAACTTAAATAACCCTAGCTTATTAAGCAAGAAAATAAATTGATGGTTACATGTAGGCATTAAAATAAATACCTGTTGAAATACTTTGATCCAGATTAAATTTTAATGTAAATTATGATTTGCATGTTTTTTTTTGTTTTTTTTAAACAGAAGCAGTAATCTACCTATATGTTTAATATTAAAATTAATATTCAGTTTTAAAATTATTTATTATTTTTTAAACAGACTCACGCGCGCGCACGCGCGCGCACACACACACACACACATATAACTATATAAAATTCTAAACTGACCTTTTATTACATTTTATTACATCTCTTTTATTACATCGACCAGTTTTATTAACACCAGCACTATATGCGCGACATATTATATATATATATATATATATATATATATATATGTAAGCAAATGTAAATGGATATAGATCCGACAGAATGAAGAAAAATTTGGAAAAAACAAACAAAAATCCGTAAATGCAATTATGTTGTTTAAAATGAATGAAATGTCGACGTCTGACGTTTCGGTTTAATAAACCTTCTTCAGGACAATATTCATTAAAATACAATTCAGTTCAATTTGACAAAGACGTCTTGAATGAAATTCCTCTTCTATTGTTCTTCAATATACCCTTCTACCTCGTGTTTGAAGTGTTCGTATTATTGTAATCAAATTTTGAATATGTATTGTGTAGATTTTTAACATTTGACTTTGAGCTCTCTAAATCTTACATCGTTAGCGTTATATATTTTATATTTAATATGTGTGTGTGTGCTTGCGCACGCGCGTGTGTGTGCGTGTGCGTGTGTGGAATCCCATTAGTTTTGAATAATTAGCATTATATAATGTCCGCCTTCTATTTTTACGTGCCTTGTGATTAAAATTGCATTAGAGGCTGAAGCCGAGGTTTAAAACAATAATTCCTCATGATATCTTTCTCGGCAAATAATAGAAAACAAGTTCAACAATGTCTTTCTCTGAAATATCCCTCTTTGACTTTTGCTATATTAAGTTTAGTAAATAACTAAATGACAGGTTAATATTATCGTCGCCTGAATATATAGCGGGGTATTCCTTAATGACTGAACTCAGTATTTCCATTGTTGTTTATTTGGTTATTTTACCGGAAGTCGTTTATTTGTTTATTTATTTTTTATTTGGGTTAAATTATTTTGCTTGTTATTATTTGTTTTTATTTCTTATTTTTATTTCTTATCTTATATATATATATATATATATATATATATATATATATATATATATATATATATATATATTATTTTTCAATCAATGTTTTTATTAACGTAGTAATAATTTGTTTTTGTATGGCTTTTTGTTTTGGTTTGGGAAGATAATTAAAGCTATTTATTCAATTTTGGGTTGATTTTTTGTAGGTTATTCTAACTATTATTTTGGGGGGGAGCAGTTTTTAATTTATTTATTACTTCATGTATTTATTTGGATTGATTATCTTTATTTGTTTTTTCTAACGCTTAATTTATCGGTTTGTTAGTTTGTTTATTTATTTATTTGGATGAATTTAGATTAATTTATTTTACTTGTTTTTTTATTATTTATTTATTATACTGTTTTTGATTTTTAAGTAACGTAGTATTTTTTAAAAATTATTGTTATATAATAGTTATAGCTATGTTTTTCGTTCGATTTTTGGTTTGATTTTTATAGTCTAACTAATATTTTGGTCATAATGTTTTGTTAATTTGTTCATTATTTACTTTTTTTTATTTGGTTTCATTGATTTTGTTTTTTATTTTTTATTTATTTATTCTATTTCGTCTATTCTAACAGGTGTGATTTGGTAATTTGTTTGTGCTAATTTATTTTACATATTTTATTGTCCTTTTGTTTATTTTATTTTATTTTTTTCAGTTTTCGATTTTTAAGTAACGTAGTAAAAATTTGTTTTCGTGTCTGCATTTTAAGATGAGCTCGGCTCGGACCTTTTATTTAATGATTTATTTTGGCCTGGGAATGTAATGATAGCTATTTTTTCCTCCAAGCAAAGTTTGCAAGTTTTTGATTGGTTGTTGTAGGTTGACGATCTTTTCCTTATTTTTCAAAATAGTTTTGGTGTGATGTGCGTTTTGTTTTTAATTTCTCAGATATACTTAGAAAGCATCGTGCTGTTCGCATATTTACAATTTGCGAAAGATGTTTTGTGTGCATAATTTCTTTGTTTCCAGGGTCCTTCAGTTACTCTTATGTATACTTTTTCTTCATTATCTGGTGATTTTATCGTGGCTTGGTATATTACGTTGTTTTGTAAACAATTACCGCCTAAAACATTCGTTCTTTATTCTGTAGTTACACGTGGGTTTAATTTGTTCGTGTAGTTTGTTGATAATATACCTGTTGTGCTTTGTTATTATTTGTGGCATGTCCTCAGTGCACTATATATATATATATATATATATATATTGTAAAATGGATGAATCCGACAATTATTCAATATATATATTTCTGTTTTAATAGATTAAATTTATTTAATATTAAACAAATTGTATCTATTAAAATAACGTATAAACAGGAAATATATTAAATATATACGTGTGTGTGCGTCCGCGCACGCGCGCGTGTGTGTTTGTATAAAGTTATCGTTGTAAAGATTTATAGGAATACGTGACCTAATCATTCAAATCATTGTTTATTCATCTCCGAACATCGTCAAATAAAATCAGTACGAACATTTGTGGCTTTGTGTTTTTTTTTTCTCAAACTTGGATGTTCATCCTGCGAGCATGTGGTAGATTGTCTGTCTTTTGGCTCTCATATAGCATTGCTGGTGAGGCCAGACACCAGGTTTGTTCTCAGGATGCATCTTCTCTCAATCAAACGCTTGTGGCTTAAAAATAACCCCTTGACCAGATTGTTACACACAAAATAAAACCATGAGACTACCGTAGCAGTAGGCAAATTTTATTTGCTTGTACCTTTCTGCTGTAACGAACGAGGCAGAGGTGAGGCGTGTTGAGGCGAGGGAATATCTAACGGGCGTGTCTTCCTTTTCGCGTCGCAGCGAACAGTTTCTTGTCCCTCTCCGTGCCTTCCTGGCTTTTGCTGTTAGGAACCAATGACTGTACTGTCAGCTCTGTCTAAAAAAATCATTCATCAAAAAGACAGGCTCTGGCTTCACTCAGTGACCTTTCTTTGTCAGGATCTTTTGACCTGTTTCTTGGAAGGTTCGCTCCATTAAGCAGATATTCTTTGCCGAGGCAATTTTTGAAACATCTTTCAGATGTTTTCCTTTAAGAATTTATCGGTTGATACTAATATCGCTACACTCACTGATATCATTTTCTGTCATACAGTTATCCTACTTGTGCACATCTTAAGCTGATTTGGGTCGACCACCTGTTTACATGGTGATGGTAGTCATTGACATTATATAAGGCACGATTCTACACCTGGTGTCTATGAGGACAACATCCAACGCTGATGCACCTGGATCCTCTGATGCAAATATTCATTTAGTCATTGATGAGTGAGAAAAATGATTAGAGATAACATTATTAAAACAAAAGAACTGCTGTAGAGTAGTTTTCACAGTGGAGGCTTGTATTTCAATAAGTCGTCCTAAAATTAGGTTCGACGTACAAAACGTTAGGAACTTGAAATAAGAGTTAATGGCGCAGCAAATCTAGTTGTGATGGTTGATACTTAAATGTCCGACAGACTCACTCAACACACTGAGCCGAACTGGCGACCGCTACTACTACTACTACTTATTATGTGTGGGAGAATCTATTAATAATAGAATAGGTACGTCAGGTATAACAAGAACTAAAAGTTGAACAAGTTCGTTAATTAAAGTATTGGGATTTAGAATTTATGTAATAAGTAAAGACCTACAACAGAAAAAAACCTCTCTTGTATGTAGATGTGTGTAAAATGACATCCATAACGTAAAAAAAAAGAAATAATTTAATTCAAATTAGAAAAAAAAAGATACACTTATTAATAACTTTGAGAAGAGCCATTAATATCTCCAATATTGTTCAAAAGCTCATATCCTCTTTAATTTGTTTTCACTCATCTTTTTGGTCGAGTTGTTCTTGAATCCGCAATGTATAATTCCTGTCGCCTTCCGATTACTTCAGGAGACAATATGTTCCCTTTCTCTAATGAATTACATCTGGAGAGAACTGAAAAATAATCCTTGTGTTACGATAGTGAATAGACAAAGAGATTCCAGCGCCCGACCAATGTTGAATATATAAAGTAATAATTATCCTTACAGTCTTTAGCAGTTAAGATCTTCGATTTTAATGATGGCCGACCAAACAAAAAAACTCTCACTAAAAAAAGCCTTTGTATTTCTTACATCATCTACTAACTACATTCACATTGTACAAAAAATAATAATAATAATGAATGAAAAAAATAAACAAAAATTACCCGTTTATAGCTTTAAATGAAATATACGAGAAGGATTACTGTTAAAAGTGCACGCACAAACACAAAATGCTGGAAACTTTTGAATTATCTTAATTTCTAAAAGAAGATAAAGAGTTCAATTCCTATTGGACTCGATAAAAAATAAAATACCAAACTAAATATCTCATAGGCAATTGAATTACAATTTCTTTTCAATAAAAAGTAAATTAAGCAATAGGAAAACTTAATCTCACATACAAAAAATGACTGATGTAGACAAAGATGTTTTTAAAATATCAACTGATCAGTTATAACAAAAAAAAAAATAATAATTTTCGACACACAAGAAAAAGGCGGCATCAAGTCTGTTCGTTTTTATATGTTTCAAGGCGTACTTGTAAAAGACTCTAAAACTATCATTTAATTTCACTTTTTCAGTATCCATGGAAATTTGTATAGACAGTAACAACCTATCTATTTCGTTTATACACATCTTTTCTATTTTTGCATTTGTCTTATTTTCGCTATAATTTTCTACTTTTTCTATATGACTACTTCTGTCTGCTTTAGTCTGTCTTTATCTATGATTATGTTGATATCTCTCGATATGCATATCTATTTCAAAATGTTCATATTCATCCAGATAAATATGAACAAACATATTTTCTTTTTCTTTATCTCTCTCTCTATATGTGTGTGTGTGTCCCAGTCTGTCGTATCTATCTATCTATCTATCTATCTATCTATCTATCTATCTATCTATCTATCTATTTAAACACTTCAGATACATTGGCGTATGGATCAACTGTGATAAATTTAGTATAGGAAAGAAAAGAAAATTGAACATAAAATACGCTGCGCCAGAAGTAGTTTTGATCGTACTCCCCACCCGTAATGAAGGGGGGGCTTTGCTGATGCAGGACTTTTATATGGGTGTAACGCATGACGCTAAACCCGTTCAGAAATATCTATACTGTGAGCTGTGTACAACCGCTTTCTAAGATAAGTGCTTAAACGAGTGAAGCCTGAAGGTCTTGGCAAAGACCGTCCTTCTTCGAACATTGTGAACTGGTGCTACAGAATCACAAACAAAACAAAAACTATAGCAAATAACAGGAACCACATCATTTGAGGACGACAACAACAGTAACAACTAAAATGGATAGCACTTATAACTCAAAGAGAAAATAATATAATCTAGATGTTGCCGTCCCACACCAATTCAAATAAAAGATTAAGAAGGAAACCCCATTTAATACTGGAAAGGGCGATAGCAGCTACTAAACTTGAAAAACCTATTTTCCTGAAAAATTGTTTTAATAAAAGATTTAAAAGATTTCAACTGATACAGTACTGGCTACTCGGTTAATGAATACCAAATGTTTCCTTGTAGGAAAACAACTAATATTACCATTACCATCTATCTAAGCCTGTATATATCTATCTATCTATCTATCTATCTATCTATCTATCTATCTGTTCTTATCTTTTTATTATCTATGTATATCATCTTGTTCTTAACAATTTTATACAGCTTTTTGTTTACTTATACCGATAAATTCACCAATTTCGTTTCTTTCTTTTTCTTCTCGTTTTCTTTTTTTACCGACTTTTTCTTTCTTCTCACTTCCGGTCTTTATTCTTTTTCTTTCTTTCCCGCCATCTTTTTATTTTCATTATCTTCTGATTATTCTTGTTTATAAATTACCAATTCAAAAGTACACAGTTGTTTCTCCCAAAATTCGCAATGACTCTCTCTCCCTCCTCTATCTCCCCCTTCTCTCTATCTCAGCTTATCAGTTTCTAATTAAGCAATTAAGAAATTGTAGCACCGTCTAATAAGACGGTACTACAACTGCCAGGTTTCAAGTGCTGATCTTCAAGGCCCTATTTTCGGGCTACTGGCGCAGCATGATCTTTCAACTCTTTTACGTGTTCCTTTTCACCACTATCCATATCTGCAATCAACTAGTACATTTAATTACTATAAATATTCACTACACCTACTTTTATATATATATATATATATATATATATATATATACATACATATATATATATATATATATATATATATATATATATATATATATATATATATATATATATATATATATATATATATATATATATATATATATATATGCATGTATGTGTGTGTTAATATCTCATAAGAAAGCGGTTATTCGTCTCACTGAACTACTCAATATATCAGATTCAAACAAAGAAATCTCATTTCGTCTCCGAATCTAACTCTTTCTCTTCTTGTCTTTGCCGGTTCATTTATAATCTTCCTCTGGGCCGATAGACAAAATGCAAACAAAGGCTCTTTCTTTTTTCCTTTTTTTCCGAACAATTCAGTTGCCATTTGTCATAATTTGTCCACACGGAAAATAGGTCCGGCCCCCTCTAGCGCCCACTAGCCGGATAAAAACTGTTCCTCGGCTATAGGAAGCTGTCGTATCATTTAAAAATAACCAGTGGATCGGAAGCGCCATCAGGGCGACTCTGATACAACGATCTAATGGAGCTGACTAGAAACTGCCTGTAACGTCATCGAATTTTATGGGTGATCTCTTCCTTTCTCGGTTTCCACGCCATAATTATTAAACGTCACGTGTTATCCGAAATTTCTTTGTATTACTTCTTGGCCTGTCGGTGATTTTCGTGACTTATTGATTGTTAAGCGGAACGTTTTTAATTATTTATGGCAGCCTATCGATACACAATAGAAACGATCGATTAGTTGGAAAAAGATCTGCCCGTACGAAGATATTGCTGTCACTGATAAAGTGATATCAGTAGGCGATTGTCAGTGTTTTACACCCTGTATTCTGCAACTTGCCAAAGACTAGTCTGCAAGTGTCAAATTTCTTGTGGTACAAAATCTTGCAAAAAAAAAAAAAAAAAAAAAAAATAAGTTAGGTGAAATATTCAGAAACGTAGCCTGGTCAAAGCGGATCCTGTGTGATCAATTCGGTAGCGTTAATTGATTAACGGAAAATGTACGACTAAGTACGTACACGTTACAGTATCACGTCATTCTAGTGTGGATTTGATTATGGGGCGATAAGTGTAATGGTGAAATTGCTCGTTTACATACAAGCAAAAATTTGTTAATCATTGACCGAAAAGCTGGTGTTGAAATTTATAGTTTTTTTTTTCTCTTAAAACAGTTTTTTTAGGAAAATAGGTTTCTCAAGTCTATGTTCTTGTGCCGAGTAGTAATGATGGGAGTTTATTTCCTAATCTTTTGTTTAAGGTAGTATGTAGTTTCAAAATCTTCATTATACCTTTATTTTCCCTTCTAGTGACATGTGCTACCCTTTTTACCTGTTGTTGCTAGAGGTTTTTGTCCTTAGGTAAAGCACTTTGTGATTTTGTAGCAGCAGTCCATAGGATCCGAAACAGGATTATCGTAGAATATGCGGACATGGTTAAGCGTAATTGACAAAATTTTCAATAAACAATAAGAAGAGGAAGAAGAAAAAAGAATAGTGCAAAATAATACTAGATTAAACAATATATATATATATATATATATATATATATATATATATATATATGCGTATATTACGGCAGCATATTTTCATTAAGATAGGTTTCCTTAAATAATTTAGACGTTATGTGTGTGTATGTGTGTGAAGCAGGTCAATCCATAAATAATGTCTTAATTTAAATTTAGAAAAATACAAAATTATATTTCGTATTTAATTAGACATCATTCCTCAATGTACATACCATTGTTATCAACAATCTGCTTCCAGTGAATCACAAGTTTCATAAATACCGTTTTCTTTTTTCTTTTTTTTATCAAAATATATTTGGTTTGGAGAAAGCTGTTTTTCATGTCTAGGTGCCATTCCACATTGTAGATTGAGCGAAATGCTATTTCAAATTCTTAAAACCATAAGAGCGCTATTTCTGTAAAATTCGTACAAATGCTCAAAAATATCTTCGGTCACTTCGTTTGCTTACCCGCAAACACCACGAATATTTCAGGTTACGTCTGCAACATTATTCCTCTTCCTAAACTCAGATCAAATGATTAAAAAATGAAAACTAGGGCGTCTATTTAAACACGTGTATTCACTAAAATAGATATCTTATATATATATATATATATATATATATATATATATATATATATATATAAAAAGAAAGAGGTTATAGTGGTTCCAACGAGAGAAAAGTGTGTATATTAAAAAGAAGAGAGGTTTTGGTTGTTTTTTTGGTTGTAATGTGGATTTAAAAAAAAAAATAAAAGTGAGTTTATTTTCCATAATTTTACTAATTTTTTCTTATGTCTCGACCGTCTTCAGAATATTTAACTTTCCAACACAAGGAAAAAATTAATTTTTTAATAATAAGTGGAAATATCGTGCCTTTTTTAAAGACGGTCAAACACCAGAAACACGTGTAGTAAAATTATGAAAATAAAGCATAATATTTTTTTTCTAAAAAACACATTACAACCAAAAAAAAGCGTTTGCGGCACCTCACTTTACATTTTAATTTTAATATATATATATATATATATATATATATATATATATACACACATACATCATATGCGTACATATCTTCATACATATATATATATATATATGTACATTTACATGTCCAGACATATATACCATTATACGTACACATACAACCCACATACAACCTAAAAATCCTAAGACCAGATACAAAAAGGGTTAAAAAATATAAAATACTGTTACTTTAATCAAAATATATTTGCGAAATATTTACATTTAATTAGAAAATGTAGTTTATCAAGAAACAAGTGAAACAGACTGTCGCCTCTCAGTGTTGACGTCTATATTTCACTTTTATATATATATATATATATATATATATATATATATATATATATATATATAAAAGTATATATAAAAGTATATATATATATATATAACTGCCATATATGGGTGATAAAAAAATCAGCAGTTAGATTCTTAGAACAATGGTTATCATGCTAGTCCCACAACTCACGAAACCAGATGCTTCATGTTATGGCCTTATCCCATACTTACCTAAGCTTTGTAAATACGCATATAAAGGCCCATTTGGAATTCTAATATTTCTGCATTTTCATCTAGTTGGTGTTCGAGCTCAGGCAAAAGATAAAATTTCCAATTCTGATTTTCCAATATCCCTAGTTCCGCCCCAAATGGAAGATTGGCGCAACATTATCTTTCTATATTCATTTCTTTTAATTTGACATTCTCCCGTGTGAAAGTAAACTTGCTAAAAAGGAAACGCTTGTCAAAGAATAATGCTTAACAAGTCATTCTTGTGATAGGCTTTCTCACTAAATTAAGTCTTCTACCAGAAATGCTAAGTAATTACCTACTCTATTTCGAACTTGTAGTTTTCTTGCACTAAACTTCTTTTAAATTGAAACTCATCTAGTAAAATAAACTTAACAAGAAAACAAAGCCTTTTTTAACTCGTACACAACGAGGTAATCTTACTTGCATTAGGTTACAATCGACCAATGTGGAAAATGATCAAGTTGGCGTCGGATTTCATCGTAGTAACATCAGAAGATGTGATTCAATACCAAATGTTATAAGCGTTTTTTTTTCTAAAAGAAATATTTTAATTTGCATGTAAATTTTCACGCCTAAAATTAAAGAATATAATATTGATTTTTGCATGTGTCTATATCAGGCACGCATGCATGCAACCAAAACACACGCATCCATGCACATTCACATCCACCCGAAACACAGATACACGTATAAAACTCGTATGTAGATACACAGATACACAAGACACAGTCATCTAAATAGATACATACACAAATAAGTGGTAAATAAATAAATACATCGCGGCTTCAATCATATTCCCACCATCATCACGTAACTTTCCTCTGCTTTTTCTACAAATATTTTCATGGCATTTCTTTTGATGAGCTTTCCTTTTTTGATACCTAATAGTTTCTTCATTTGAACTTTTCACCTATGGAATTCTCTACCAGCCTTGATTTAATGTCAACGACAATCTACAAAAATTTAAATTCAATATCAACTGCCATTTTTCTCCGTGAATCCTGTTCTTTTTATTGCCCTTTCTTGTCAATAATTTTGTCTGATTTTCCTTCACAAGTTTTCTCTTTTTCCTTTCATCCTCAGTAACCACCCTTGTGTCTTAGTGGCTCTATTGCCTTGCCTGCGGATGAAACGATTAAAAAATATGTGCACATATAGGTGCATTTGCAATATTCTAACATGATGATGGCTGTTCATTCGATGAACGAAGATGACCAGCATTTATGTTTAATCGACTACGACCCGACCTTTATTTGATTATTATGTGTTCCTTGCAGATGAGTTCAAGGGTTGAGCATAGGTTGGCGTTTCAAACAGACGAACGACTTTCTGACACATCCTACATATGCCTACGGTTTCTAATGAACACGTTTTGAACCTGATTATTGTGACCACCCACACTCATAGGCTGTTTATGACCCCTTGCAGACTTGCAGGCATTGTGGCAATAATTATATCACAATTTAATTTTCCGAGTAATTTGCGTCCTGTTTTAGGAGATATAAGCCTAGGACAAACCAGGCACACAAAGTGGGAATCATCAAATTCCGTAATTTTAGGTTCTTGAACAGCTTTCCTGGTCTGGGTCTGTGAAATTCGAAACTTCTTAAAGGATTTGACGCCAGAATGGACTATTTTTACAC